CACACTTCATTCTTTCCTACAGTGTGAGGTACATAAGGCTTAGTATTTTCAGTAGAAATGGTAGTTGGGAGGATACTGAGAAGAGCTGTTGCTGAGTTGGAGGTGACACTTTCAGTACATTGGTGAAGGGGAAGAGGTAAGGGAAAGTTTGAACGTGGAAGGTTTTGGTTCCTCGAGCTTCATTTTCTCTTCCTTATTTTTATGCTGATCAGATCTTTTTTCATTCCTCGGCAACAGACTGTTTCAGTCCTTTGCGGCATCATTTATTTCTTTTGCTCCTGCTGACAAGTTGGAGGCTGAATTATGTGCTCGTTCTGAAAATGTTCCTTTAGGCTCTTGCTTCTGAACTTTCTAGCCAATGCAGAGTAAATAGGTACTGTGCTGTATGCAAATGTAGGCATATTTGTCCGTGTAGGCAAAGGTGGGGGGGAGCATTTTGCAAAATGCCTTTAGAACAGAACCAAACTTTTGAAATGGAATATTTTATAGCCTCATGACAATAAGCTAAACTTTTCGGAAACAAAAAGGACAGAGGAATACTTATCTATAAAGTACGTTGGAAAAAACACACACAAAAAACAAAACAGGACTAAAACTTCAACAGTGAGTTCACCTCAAGCATTTCATGAATTTCACATGACCCACCCACTTTTTCTCTGTACCTCTGAAGATTACCATATCAGCGGCAATAATACTCTGTTGTTCTAGTGCCAAATTTACATATCAATGTAGCCATGGCATTCCTGAATGTAGAATATTGTACTGTTCCCCTTGTTTGTGGTTTCTAAATAAGGTTAATTTTTGTTCCCTTACCCTCCTCTCTTAATCTTATGCCACCCCCTACCTCTCTTCAATCAGTGGTTTGTTTTTTTTTCTTTGAATAGTTTTCCTCCTTTTCTTTCCCCGTCTCTGTGTCATAATCGGGACCATCCACAAATTCACTGTACAACCATGCTGCGTTTTAAAAATCTTTATCACTCAGCCACAGATGATCAACTCTTTGAGAAGACAGGCCAGGGACAGAGAAGTAATGACGGGTCACTTCTGGGGTGACTCTGGGATACCTTCTTCCCCAAATGTATGGTGTGTGTTAAGGTGGGTCAGAAGTTACCGTGGTCGATTTCACGGCCACCTTTGTTTCTTTCTTGGAAGGTTTTGTTGTTCATTATTGCTATTTCTAGATTGGAGATGAGTCTAGCACAAATTTGCATGGCAGAATTGAATCAACCAATTTTCATTTCCATTGAACGTTTGGAAAGGGCTGGATAATTTTTAAATTCTTAGACTCTTATGTGTCAAACTTAATGGAAAGCCAGCTGGAGCCTAACAAGCTATTTTAATGAGCTTCCTTTCTCTCTGATGTTCCCCAGGGGCTAGTGCCAAGCAGACCCATGTGGCCCAGGGAGTAACATGATCATCTTGGCTCTGTTTAGACACCTGTGCTCTTTTAGCCAAGCAGTAAGGGGAGCAGGAGAAAGAGAGAGATGAGGGCATGGAAGGCATGCAGATCAAGAAGGAGTGGGTGTGTGCCATGCTGCTTAGGAATTCACTACAAGAAACTCCACAGCAACAGCAGAGACCTGACGCATCACAGGCCAACAGTGCCTCTATGTGGGGTGTCTGAGAGCACATGAAATGTGTTTGTGTGTGCTGGGGAGGAAAGGTGGGGAGGGGAGGGAGGAGAAAATTATATGCATTTTTCAAAGGAACTGAATGATTCGGAGGTTCCTTTCGAGAAGGCAATATAGGAAGAAAAGATTGAAAACCATGTATACAAAATATGTCCAGGACCCTGAGATTATGTTCTTCATCTAAGCTTCCTCCCACTCCTTTAAAAAAAAAAAAATTGCTGTGTTCACTTTTCCTTTCCCATGAATCAGCCTGATGCTTGGCTCTCCCTACCCACTCTGAACAACTTAGCACATAGATATTAAACTTGGTCCGTATCGTTTAGTGATTGTTCTTAGTCTCCCGTATGTGTGAATTTCTCCTTCCTGGATTATAGGCTCCTTGAGGATTTAAATTTACAGAAGCAAATACTTTTCTTCTGTTCTTCTGTTCTTCCTCACCCCTTTGTTACCAATCCTGGGTACTTCTCAGCAAATATTTAACATATGACTATACAATACTTCTTCATAAGATTTTCTTCCCTTTACCAAGTCTTATTTTATGATGTGATTGTTTGTTTTTATAAATTAAATTTTTAGTAAATAATTTAAAGTATTTCCACACTTTCTAAAGTGAGGATGTTTATAGTTTCTCAACGTACAGAAATACGAAGAAAACAATACACCGTACTCTCCACCACAATATTTCACATATTTGCTTCATCGTCCCCTGACGATGCAGGGGACGCGGGTTCGTGCCCCGGTCCGGTAGGATCCCACGTGCCGCGGAGCGGCTAGGCCCGTGAGTCATGGCCGCTGGGCCTGCGCGTCCGGAGCCTGTGCTCCGCAACGGGAGAGGCCACAACAGTGAGAGGCCCGCGTACCGAAAAAAAAAAAAAAGTTAAATCTAGGGCTTCCCTGGTGGCGCAGTGGTTGAGAGTCTGCCTGACGATGCAGGGGACACAGGTTCGAACCCTGGTCTGGGAAGATCCCACATGCCGCAGAGCAACTAAGCCCGTGTGCCACAACTACTGATCCTGCGCGTCTACAGCCTGTGCTCCGCAACAAAAGAGGCCGCGATAGTGAGAGGCCTGCGCACCGCGATGAAGAGTGGCCCCCGCTCGCCGCAACTAGAGAAAGCCCACGCACAGAAACGAAGGCTCAACACAGCCAAAAATAAATATAAAAATAAATAAATAAAAATGTTACCATTCTTTAAAAATAAAAGTTAAATCTACAGCTAACCACCGCAAGAGCCTCTCCATCCCATTTCTCTCTCTCCCTCCCTAGAGAAAACCACTCTCCTGAAGTTGGTGTACATACTACTTCCCTAGCACGTATTTAAATTTCCATCACCTGGTTCAAAACGTCTTAGTCCTCCTTCCTGAGGGCCCGGCGCACTTTTGTCAGCAGGGATGCAGACAGAGTGACAGAGGACTAACCCCCGGGGGGAAACGCAGTTCCACCCCGAAAAAGAGGGCTTAGTAGTGGCAAGGGCATAGCTGGGGAGGAGGACTGAGGCCTTACTGGGCGCGGAAAAGGGGTATTAGGTGAGAAAAGAGGAGAAGAACCTGCAAGGAGCACAGGCTTTGCTCCCCTGATCATAAGAGAGGATGCGGCTAGACGTCTCCGAGACTGCCTGGAATGCGGTTTGGAAGTTACAGATGCCCCCCTACCCTGGCTGGGCCGAAAGTTGCAACCCCACATGATGACCTGGTTAGGCGGCATTTACTTCTGAGGGACTGACCTGCTTTAGTTCCTCTGAAGCGTTGTACAGATCGGACAGAGACAATTCTGCTTTTCTATTATTACTCTTCCTCAATTTGGAGTTGTCAGATAAAATAGAAGACACATAGTTAAATCTGACTTTCAGATAAGCAATGAATGCTTTTTTTAGTAAAAGTGTGTCTCAAGTATTGTATGGGACATACTTATACTAAAAAGGTACTTGTTTATCTGAAATTCAAATGTGAGTGTCCTGTATATTTATTTGCGGTACGCGGGCCTCTCACTGTTGTGGCCTCTTCCGTTGCGGAGCACAGGCTCCGGACACGGCTCATGGGCCCAGCCGCTTCGCGGCATGTGGGATCTTCCCAGACCGGGGCACAAACCCGTGTCCCCTGCATTGGCAGGCAGTCTCTCAACCACTGCGCCACCAGGGAAGCCCCTGTATATTTATTGCTAAATCTGGGAACTCTACCTCATTTGAACTTTGGAAGGGTTTAGCAAAGCGCTGTAGGAGTCTGAAAAGGAGTGAGTCAAAGGGGCTCTCCAGAATAACATTAATAAAGACAATCTTTGTCAAATTCTCAATGGCCTAACACAGGCCAAAACAACAAGCTCACTGACTTTACTAAATCAGGAGGATGCCAAGACATTCTTTGTTATTTACTATTGAGATGTAATTCACATACCATAATATTCACTCATTTAAAGTATACAATTCAGTGGGTTTTAGTATATTCAGAGTTGTGCAGCCATCCCTAAATCAATTTTAGAACAGCTTCATCACCTCAAAAGAAACCCAGTACCTATTAAAAACCACTCCCCATTTTCCTGGCCCCCCTCCCTCCCTGCTGTTCCCCAACCCTAGCCCCCTGCATCCACTCACCAGCTTTTTGTTTCTTTAAATGTACCTATTCCGGACATTTCATTATAAGTGGAATCCGCGATATGTGGCCTTCTGGGTCTGGCTTCTTTCACTGTGCGTTTTCAAGGCTCATCCTCGCGCATCCACATTGCAGCATGTATCAGTACCTCATACCTTTTCATTGAGGAATAATACTCCTTTGAATATAAATACCACAATTGGCCAGCCATTCATCCACTGTTGAACACTTGGGTTGTTTCCACTTTTTGACTACTAAGAATAACGCCTTTAGGACAGAACGTTACTGCACAAGTTTTCGTGGGGACACACGGTGTCATTTCCGGTGGGATTGCTGGCCATATGGTAACTCTATGTCTAATATCGGAACTGTCAAATGGTTTCCAGAAGGAGCTGCACCATTGCGCATTCTTAGGTTTTTTGTTTGTTTGTTTTGTTTGGGGGGGGGTTGAATTTTTAAAATAAACAAGGTTTCCTCGGTGTCTGTGAGGAGGGCCTGCTCCCAGGGCCCCTCCTTCAGGTCCGCCTCTGCGGGGCTCCTAGGGTCCCCTCCCTACGCCTGGACCGCTGGAACCCAGGGACCAAAACATTGTGGGAAACGTAGTTTCGGCCCCTCCTGCGTAGCGCTCGCCGGCAGGAAAACGGACGCCTTTCTGAGGCTCTGTGGACATCGTAGTTTCCTTTTCGGTTCGCCGCGCAGAGACCGCGGTAACGAAAGCTACAATCCCCAGAATGCCGCGGTGCTACGGCAGCCGAAGCGGCCAATCCGCGCGCCGCGCTGCCGCCCTCTCTGCGGTCCGGGCCTCTCTCCAGGGCGTCTGTAAACACAGCCAGAGCCTGTCATGGAGGGGGAGGAGGAGGCAGCCGCGGGGAAGGGAGGCGTTCTGCGCCGCCTCCAGGGTCCGCTCTGCCATCCCTGAACTGGTCCCTCGTCCCCGTGACTGTGGCATCAGGGAAGCGAACTGTTAGGCCAGAGGAGGAGGCAGTCAGAACCTTATCCCGTTCTTCCCCCGGGGCTGGGGCCGGGCCGGGCCAGGCCGGCTGAGCCGGGGGAGGGCCGGGGGAGGGAGCGCCCGGCCGGGCTGGCCTGTCTGCCGAGATGGATGACAGTAAGGTAAGTCCCGGGGTTTGCACGCGCAGCTGCTGCAGCCGCCGCCTGCTTGTCGCTAAGTGCCCGTCCCGCCGCTGAGCCTCAGCCCCGTAACGCACGCAGCACCCAAGAGACACCGGCCTAAGACATCTCTGCGCTTCCAGCTATGACCCCAGCTACCCAGACAGGAATTGAGGGAACAGCGGGCTGCGTTCTTCCAGCAAGGGCCCACACCTCTGGAAAATCACACCCAGGGCAAGCCTGTTGGTCAGCTTTTCCAGGTAGTGTAAACCCTAGTCCTCCCGAGATAAGTGAAGAAACTACTGTGCTTTTTCTTTTTGCCTTCCTTTGCCCCCACCCAGCCTTTCTCCACGTTGGAGACCTTAACTAGGGCACCCTGAACCGGCCCTGTTCCCCTTGACGGTCCCCCTTTCTTCTCCCAGGCTCCCTTACTCAATGCCCCATTCATATAATCGGTTCACTCCCCCTCTGAGCTGTTCTGCCAAGCTCCTGTTGCTATTCGTCCAGAGTCTGGAATCCAACCTCCTCTAGAAAGCCTTCTCCAGGAAAAGGAATGAATTCCTTCTTGTTAATCTATCTTAATATTCCATCCCCATCCCCCTTTCCCTATCCAGATCACTTATCCCTATGACGATAAGATGACCGACAGTATTCATTATTGGTTAATTCATATAGTTTATGTATAACCTTTGTCCGCGTTAGTGTTGTCTAGTTATATGTCATGAAGACAGTGATGGTCAGTTTATTTATCATCAGCTTATCGATGTTTTAGAGTGTTTAGGAAGTTGGACTTTTTTTTTTTTTTAAGGAATCAGACTCTAGAGTTTGCCAGTTTTCAAAATAGACACTCTTCCCTATGCTTTCCAGAGGTCTTACTTTCCACACTCTCTGGCATGCCGCTTGTGATAGCTTTTTCCTTCATTTGGGAACCCTTTCCCCTTCCACCTAACCAGTAACATTTTGCTGCTATCAAGTTTTTGTTTCACCCATCCTCAGAGAGATTGAAAAAATTTCCATCTTCTCTGTGCTGCTTCTGTTATTCTACCTTATCTCCTCTTCCTGTTCCTGCAGAAGGCTCCGAGAGAAATGCAAGCAGGGAAAGCCCAAGGCAGTACTCTGGAATCAGGACTCACCTAGAGGAAGCTTACTTGTGAAGTAGCAAACCCCTCCTAATAGGAAGTGGTATTTCCCAGACAGAAAGGAGGAGTTCTGAAAGTTTTCCAGAAAAATCAGAAGAGAATTTTCCATAACAACCTTTGCTAGCTTGATCTTTCAGTGTTAATTTTGAAATTAAGTCCAAATACTGTATCTACTATCTTTCCTGGATATGGCTGGGAAAGGATGCTAAAGCAACATATTCTTTTATGTCCTCGGTTTGAGACTCTCACAGTATATTCTACATAATTTTCGGTTGTTTCTTTTTTGAACCTTTGAAACATGTAATAACTTTCTCAGAGTCTTCAGTAATCTCAAATAAATTCAAGAAAAATACATAGGATTTTGAGTTATTTATCTACCTATAAAATAACATAGGACTTATTTCTAGAAACAGGCAAGCTCTTGTGGAAGGTATAAAGTGTTACGGTTTTGCCTAAAGAGTGAAGTTGATTTTGGGGGCTAGGCTTTTCATAACTTCTTAGAAGGTTCATAGCTAAGCAAAATGAATTCAGTACTCATTCTTTATTAATTCATTGTATTGTGACGGTATTTAAAAATCAGCAGTTTCTTCAATCTTTAATGATTACGGAAAAGAAAAACCACTTCAGATGTCTCTGGATGGATAGTGCCTCTGTGAATACACTACTTTCACTTTGAATACATGTCGTAGCTGTGGTTGAGTAATATTTAAATGCCACGTACAGCAAGACTGGACTGCTCTTTCAGCAGTCAGGTGGTATGAAACAGTCTTTTAAAAAGGCTCCTAGGCCTGCCTTTCCCTGTGCTCTAGTTGTTACAGTCCCACAAAATTGTATTCTCCTCCTAGTAGATACCTACATACTCACACACAAAACACACTTTTCCCTCACATTATGTATGGGTGATGGAGTCTCAGGTTCCATTTTCCCCTGTATAAGGGGATAGGCTTGAAAGTAGTATATGGTGGTTGTGCTGGTGAGAGCATAAAAGATGACAAACTGGCTGACAGCAAGGCCAGGGCAACAGGAAGAGGACAAAGTGGGCAGGTGCAGCAGTTACAGAGAGGCAGTATTTGAATGAGCAGGTCAGGAAACGTGATGATGATGTGATGAATCCCTTTATAAAGATTCTGTATTCTGAGTTGTTTTCATCAGTGGTGGTGAATGAGTTTGCCAAGAGCTTTCCACCTTCTGCCGTCTAGGTTCCTGGAGTCAGGGCAGGACAGTTTTGAATGGGAGTGCAGCTTTGCCTTCCAGGTAGGTAGCAGTGTGCCTGTTACGTTACATCATAGAGTACTGGTTAATAGTGATTGAATTGAATTGGAACAGAGTGGCATTAAGGAGACTGCCCTAGATGTACCTGGGCTTTATTAATCAGTTTGCTCTATTGAGCCAGCCAGCCAGAGTATACAGACTACAGCTAAGGGGGAAACAAAGCAAGAGACAGACTGGGCTTGGGGACGTGCTAAGTAGCAGATCTCAAATTCTGATTGAATAGATTTCTACTTAGGCTAGTTGGGAAGGCAAAAATCTTGGCTAAGTTATTTAACCTTTTTGAGCTTCCATTCTATCTGTTAGATGGTCAATACCTTCTTCCCAGGCTTTGTTGAGGATTAGAGATAATGCATATGAAGCATCGAATACAGAGTCTAACACATGATAGGCACTCAGAAAATATTATCCTTATCATATTACCTGCCAGGGACTTCCTCGGTCTTTAACACAGTGCAGTAGGCACCTGAGATGCTCATTTTAGTAATTTTTAAGTGTGCGCTGTTGCATGGCATTTGCAGCTGTGTTTCCCCCATGCTACCCTCTGCTCCTAACTATGCCCCACAGTGGGACAGGGACAACGGGATGGGGCGTGAAACGACCTTAAAACTGTGCCCTTAACTGTCAGATTGTATGAGAAAGGTAGTGTCCTGAGTCTACCTGCTTGTCCACCACTAAGAAAAAGCGCTTGTTTTTATGAAAGCCTCTTCTCCCTAACGTGCTGCATTCAATTACAAAGAAAACTGAAATCTGTTATTTTCAGAGGCTTTGATCATAGACAGAGGGTTTCTTATTTTCTATTTGACTTTCATGTTTATCGAATGAATGAATGAGTAACTTGAGATATCCTAGACCAGCTGTGTTCCTGCCGCAGACTAAGCTGGTAAAAGACCACCATTCTGTATTGCCCAGCCTGACAGTTTAGGGCACCAAGTTCCAGCTGAGGGACTGGTGAGAGAGCGTGTCAGCCACTGGCCACAGGATGCTAAGATGGGCTGCCCTTCTCCTCCATACTTCCTTTCCACCTGTGCTCCACATGATTCTTTGAAAATGAGGTTTCTTATACCTTCCTTACCCCTTCGGTCATTTGTTCCATTCAGTTGTTCTGAGTACTGCTGGTTCTCACAAAAATTTTAACCTGGCCAAAAATCTCTTTGACATTCCCAGAGCTGTCCTTTGGCCCCTGAAGTCCCTCCTGTCAGCCCCTTAGCCATCCTTTGCTATAGTTGGAACTACCTTCCTTGGGCAGTGCCACAGAGCCCAGAGACTTTCTTCCTTTTCTGTCCTCCTGCTCTATCCGTGCTTTCCATGATAGCAAGACAGAAGAGCCAGCTCGTTTACCAAACTAGACAGTAGATATTCATGTTTTAAATCTGCCTTCCTTACCTGCGCAGGCTACGGGTACATTTTAACTAGGGTACCTCTACAGATATCAGTTGAAATCTAAGTTTAAATAACCTTATTCAGAATGTTTTGCTCTTTAAGGTTTTCCTAAAAGTTTGTTCATTTATTCATTCATCGTCAAACATTTGTTAGACACCTAATATGTATGTAATACGAGGCATTGTGCTAGAGATACAAAGACAGGTAAGAGTTTATAATTATTCTCAGGAGCTTATGTTTCAGTGGGCTAGACAGACATACAGAAAAATAATTACAACGTGGTGAGGTAAGAAATGAGGGCGGTCGTGGCAAAGTGCTTTGGGGGCACTAAGAATGGATGCCTGACTGGGTATGTCAGACATGGGTTCACACAGTAGGAATGAATCTGTAAAGAAGAATAGGATTCCCTCAGAAAATGGGAAAGAGGGAATGTCCTATACTAAAGCATACTGCACTGGGAAATAAGTATTTTGCTACAAGCTAGAGCAGGAATGGGGGAATTTTCTTTAAAGGGGCAGATAGTAAATATTTGTGGGCCATGTGATCGATCTGTCGCAATTAACTCTACCACTGCAGCGTGAAAGCAACTGTAGGCAGAATGTAATGAATGGATATGGCTGTGTTCTGATAAAACTTTATTTCCCCAAACAGGCAACAGGCTGGCTTTGGCTTGCCATTTGGGCTGGAGTTTACTGATCCCTGAGCTAGAGCATAAGGCACAAGTAGAGGTGTGGGCAGAGATAAGGATGGACGGATAATCAGGGGCCAGATCATGATTTGCTTGGCAAGTTAAGCTCAGAAATTTGGGCCAGTATTTTTCAAAGTGTGAAATAAAGAAGACTGAATCAGAATTTTGGGGAACAGGGCCTGGGAATTTGAATTTTGTTTGAAAACCAAGGCACCATAGTTGTTGAGGAGCTATTAAAGGATTTTAAAGCAAAGGTGATAATATCAGATTTGTGTTTTCAAAAAAAATGTTCATGGCTATATGGAGACTGGATTAGGGTAGAGATGTAGGAACTGGAACAAGACTAGAGGCAGATGGTCCAATCAGGAAGGAACATAGATTTTGGCATATAACCAGGGTTCAAATCTAATTTCCGCCACTTAAAGCTATTATGATTTTGGACAGATTATTATTTTTTTATTGAAGTATAGTTGATTTACAGTACTGTATTAGTTTCAGGTATACAGCAAAGTGATTTAGTTATA